AGTAAGAACTAGACATCCATGGCTGAGCTGGTCCAAACTCATTCATAGTAAAGTAAACACACTCAGAGAATGAAGTAGGCAACCATCATGGCACAGGTAGGAGAGAACTGATGCAGATTTACCTACCTTTATTTACTTAATCTACCTTTAGCCATGGATTTTCTGAATACTTATTGTGTCCCTGCCTCTTGGGCTTTGGGTTCTAAAATGCATTAACTTGTAAATCACATCAAGCAGGTGACTTGGGGACATCTGGTCAAAGTGCATGGAACACTTATTGGGGTCATTCCTAATAGAATGGTAGAAGATCCTTTCTGAATTCTCTGCTGCAGAGCTCCAGGATTTCCCCTTGCTTTATAGCATCATTAATTGTTTGTGGATTTTATAACTATTCTCAAAGAAAGTGTTAAAAATCATAGCCTGATGTCACAACTGCTAAAACATGAGAAGGGACATTTTTAGACTTAAAGAAATAGAAGTTACTTTAATAAAAAGCAAACATATTTTATTCTTAATCCTTTGGGGGTTATCCAAGAAAATATTACTTTGTAATTATGTATATTGCTTATGTATAAAATGTATATGTAATATAAATACACTTCATTGTGGGTTTTTTTGTTTTTGTTTTTTTTTGGGGGGGGTCCAGTCGTGGGCCTGAACTCTGAGCCTGGGCGCTGCCCCTCAACTCTTCAGCTCAATACTAGCGCTCTACCACTTGAGCCACAGTGCCACTTCTGGCTTTTTTTTCTGCTTATGTGGTGCTGAGGAATCGAACCCAGGGCCTCATGAATACAAGGCAAGTGCTCTATCACTGAGCCACCTTCTCAGCCCACTTCATTGTTTTTTTAAATTCTGTTTTGTTCAGGACATGCTTAACTAATATTGGCTGAAGAAGTGAATGATTTAGGTTCTACCCTGAATAAATGAATTAGTTTTGTCCATGGCTAGATATTTGGGACTACTGAAGAATAGGTTAATAAATTTACTTTTCTTTTTCATAGAAAAGTGGTCCAATAGAAACAAATCCAAACTCCATCCTTAACATCTCTCCCTCAAACCCAGGTTGATTTATATATTTGTTTCAGAGGATGTTTGCTGGTAGGAAACACAATTCTGCCTCGAGTCTTCCAATGTCTGTGGGCTATTGAAGCTTTCTTTGAATTTTGTTTGTCTTTGATCTGAGGACATTTGTATGCTTTGTAATTATATACCAGGTTAAATACTTCCTTCATTTAAGTAGAAATAAATCCCAAATCACTGAGGTATAGAGTGACTTGAACAAGGTTTTTTGGCAATTGGATTAGAGACTGGTTTAGAACCAAAGACTTCTGTACAACAATGTTTTTGTTTGGCTTCCATGTTAGAGTCTTTGAGATAGAAAATATGCAACAGAATTGTGTAATAAAAGAGGTGCACATGTACTGTGAACAGAATTTTGTTTCTTCATATATTGTAAAAGAATCACACAAAACATGGATCTAGAGACCAACGTTAGCTTCAACCAATACTGGTAACATAATGACTCTAGGTTTGAGAAAATTTAGAGTCTTAATATTTCTTGCACAGAGAGGCTCAGGGACAGAGCCCAGAAACTGAGTTTAAGTCCCAGGAAAGGCAAAAAAAAAATCTAGCCAGGCAATTGTGGCTCACTCGTGTAATCCTAGCTACTCAGGAGGCTGAGATCTAAGGATAATGGTTTGAAGCATGTCTGGGCAGGAAAGTCCATGAGACTCATGTCCAATAAACTATTCAGAAAAAGCTGTAAATGGTAGAGCACTAGCCTTGATCACAGAGAGGCTCAGGCAGGGACAGAGCCCAAGTTCTGAGTTCAAGCCCCAGGACCAGAAACAATTTTTTTTCTCTCTAGGATTCTATAGACCAGTGGATATTTTAATAAAATTCATGGATTATACTGAATTTGAAAGCTATTAAAAATACTTAGAAAACACAGCATTGAGGAAGTGACATTTGTTCCTAAGGGCAGGATTTTGTTAGTTGTTTTTTTTTTTTTAAGTATGGTGCCCTCAGCTCACCTGTGTTGGAACCATCTGGAAACTTGTAAATGCCTAAGCTTACACCTGAATCTTGCATCAGAATCCCTGAGGGGTGCGGTCAAGGATCTCTACTTTAAACAAGTATTTCTGAGTCCAATAAAGTCTGAGAATCACTGGCTATAAAAATTCTAGATTAAAGAGTAAAATAAAATATAAAATTAAGCTGCAAACATTTTCAAGGACAGGTGTTAGATGATTTCTTAATGGACGAAATAACAAAATGCATCAACACATAATCAAGAATTATATCCCATTAAAAAAACTCAGAGGACTTTGAAAAATGACAGGGAAAGTTTCAGATAAATTATTTGTTGGAAATATTCTTCTAGGAGAAAAGTGTCTTATGCAATGAATTCCTCCCAAATAAATTACTTTATGAACTGTAAAAGTGAAAGCAACTTTTATAGACTTCAGATCAAAAGATATATATATGTATATATTGCAGAGGATTTTCCTCAAATTAAAGCACATTCTGTCAGAATAAAGCAGCAGTAGAAAGTATACTACAATGACCTGTATCTGATAGATTGAATTCATCTGTTCCCACTGACCTAAGGAGTAATTTTCTACTATCTATGAATCAAGGATTTGAGTAGGATTCTTTATATTTATATAAATCAGATATAAATTAATTGTTTTATTTCCCTGCCTAAAACCACTCAATGACTTCCAATATCTCTTAGAACAAAGTTCAAGTATAGGGTATATGGCTCTCCAGCTCCATATCTTTTCCTTTTCCCCACCTTTCCCTTTCACTTTCCCAGTTTCTGAGACCCCCACCATTATTCTTTTCCCTGCCAACAATCTTCTCTCCCATTCCTTTCATTCCTAAGCACTTTCTTTCCAAGCAGCTAACAAATATTGTAATATTACTAGTAGCATTACTGACAGTAGTGAAAGAGAGCCATTTGTCAGGAAAGTTACTCCTTATTTCAGTCCTGCATGAACCTGAGGTTTATATTACCATTGGCTTATTTTAGTAATTATAATGTGGCCTCTACATTTACCTCTGTAATTGGCAATGTACATAACAACCAGATGATCATGTAACATACTAGATGATCATATCACTTAAGTGTGGAGAGTATTGGCAATGCACACATTTGTATAGTGCTTTACGTATTGCAAGATCCACAGTAGGGATGAACTCATTTCCTAGACAAAGGGGGAAAAAGGCTCAAAGAGCTTAATAACTTGCCCAAGCTTAAATTGCTAGTAGATGGCAGAGTTGGCACCTGGAAAATGACTCTGAGAGGGCATGAATATACTAAGAGCTAGGAATCACAAAATGCCAAACAGTCATACTAACAATTAAATGTAACAGACCCTCAGCTTTATGAACACCAACTGTATCATGCATATGAAAATTCAAAGTGTGAATTGGGACATAAGGAGAAGAAAAGGAATGTATGTTCAAGGATAGGGCAACATAATGGAAAGAACACTAAGTTGAGAGATGGAGTCAGTGGTGATTCATCTGTAAGAAAGGAGGACTTCAGTCCAGTGCTGGCTCATGCCTAGCTATTCAGGAGGCTGAGATCTAAGGATCACAGTTTAAAGCCAGCCCAAACAGTAAGTTCGATGAAACTCTTTTCCCAAATAAGCTACCAAAAGGCTAGAAGCAGATCTGTGGCTTAAGGGATATGTGTGCTAGTCTTGAATACAAAAGCTCAGGCACCACACCTATGCCCTGAGTTTAAGACCCAGGACTGGCACAGGGCTGTGCCCACAGAGGAGATACCCTAGAAGCCTGATCTTCTGTCTTACATCCATCCAGATGCTCCTTTACACTCTGTTTTCTGGTAGATTCTCATGGTGAGGACACCTGGGTGGAGATGCAAAAAACAAGGGATGTACTTACTCCCTGTGATGTGCTTTAGGTGGCCAGGACTTTGCCAGAGGTCACTGTACCTCTCCAGGGCTCAGATTTCCCTATCTCTTCCCTTTTAGACAGCAATATCCTTCAATAGCTACATGCATGAACCACCCTGTGACATCCAGGGTATCTCAACTCAAAAGCTGCTGGAAGACTGGGAATGTGGCTTAGCAGTAGAGTGCTTGCCTAGCATGCATGAAGCCCTGGGTTCGATCCTTCAGTACCACATGTACAGAAAAAGCCAGAAGTGGTGCTGTGGCTCAAGTGGTAGAGTGCTAGCCTTGAGCAAAAGAAGCTCAGTGACAGTGCTCAGGCCCTGAGTTCAAGCCCTAGGACTGGCCAAAAAAAAAAAAAAAGCTGCTGGACTCCAGACTGATACATTCTGGAAGATTCTTCCCAGTTCTCATTATGATTTATTTTATCAATGTTTTATCTTGGTTTGCTTGTCCATCTTTCTCCATAGAAATGATTCATTGTTTTTTTCACATGAAATTCAGATGGTATAGGCAAATTGTGTGTGTGTGTGTGTATGTGTGTATGCAAATTGTGTGTATGTGTGGGCACTGTCCTTGAGCTCCTTTTGCTCAAGGCTAGTGCTCTACCACTTAAGCCACAGTGGCACTTCTGGTCTTTTCTGAGTAGTTTATTGGCGATAAGAGTCACACAGAGGCTGGGAGCCGGTGGCTCATGCCTGTAATCCTAGTTACTCAGGAGCCTGAGATGTGAGGATCATGATTGAAGGCCAGCCCAGGCAGGAAAGTCTGTGAGACACTTATCTCCAATAAATCACTAGAAAACCGGAAGTGGCGCTGTAGCTCAAGCAGTTGAGCTCTTGCCTTGAGCTGAAGAGCTGAGGGACAGAGCCCAGGCCCGGAGTTCAAGCCCCACAACCGACAAAAAAAAAAAAGTCACATGAACCTCAGGTCTCCAGCTCCCTGAGTAGCTGTGATTACGGACCAGGCTGGTCTATGCAAATTTTTGAGAGAGAAGAGTGGTTTCAGTTTGTTCCATCTTCTTAAGAGTCCAACTGTCACCAACAATCACAAGCATGAGAGAAGTCACAAGTTAAGTAAAATAAGGGCACAGCTTTATTTTGCGACAAGGCAGTAAGTAGTAAATACACTGTCATATCAAAAGTTCAGAGCCAGTCATCTTCCACAAATGTTCTTAAGGCAGCAACTGGCTATTGACCTCTGTCATTGTCTCCACAGCTGAGAACACAGAATCCGTGAGGCAGTTCTATGACCGTACATGTAGAAGCTGTAGGGGAAGCTGATGGAACTCAGAGCCCCTGAACAATGAGGCTGAACTCAAAACAACACATAGGACATTAACAACATAGATCTCCCAAGGAAAAAAAAAGAAGTGCAATGCATGCTTTCATAAACCAACAATAACAAAAATAAAAAAAAACAAGTAACAAAAATTCAAAATCTCCCAAACAAGTTTTCCAAATGTATTACAAAAGGAAAAAAGCATATATATATATATATACATATATATGTGTATATATGTATATATATAAATAGAAAAGTCTGAAGTCTGAATACTAGTGCATAGTCAATTACCTAACACCAAGTGTCTTTTCTTTCCAATCAAGCTCTACTACCCCTTTGATACTAGCAGCATGTCTACAGGCTAAGAACCATAGCAGCAAAACACATTTTTTTTTCATTTGGCATTTACAAAATTAAATTACTGAATAAAAATATATTTTTGTATAAAACTATTTCATACAGTAATAATTTTAAAGCAAGCTATAAAAAACCCTCATAAAATGGTTTAGTACAATAAATGTACCTCCAAATGTAATTAACCACAAATGAACATTTACCATCTCCATTAATTGTCTCATGGTATTTAGCCAACATTTATAGTAATGCTTTTACTGATTTTTTTTTAAAAAAACTTCTACAAGTATGGTTAGTGATTGAGAAAAGTGAAATACTGGAGTACCTTTCTGTTTAAAATTTTAAAAACTCATCACAGGTAAAAATACTGATCTATTGAATTCTCTAAAATACAGATAAATCATTTTATGTTTTAAAAAATCTGCATTAAGATATTAACAACTGGTTACAATTCATTACCTAATAATTTAGGTAAGATTGTTATTCATTTATTTTTAAATCCCTTTAGTTGAGTGAAATGCAGTAGGATTCCATCCAACTAGACGCACTTGGTGCTGCTCGCAACTGTTGTACCACAACAAAAATAGGTTCTTCTCCCAATCATGAAAAGTTTCATGTCGAGGAATGCAAAGTCAACTTGAAGTGTTCTGAAAACCATAATGCTTTTTCTGGAAACATCTCACATGACCAGAGTCCGGGCTGAGAACGCATTCACATATTTGCGAGCCTGACCGGAAGCAGTCATTTGGTCCTCTGTCTTCCCACAAGATGCAGGTTCCCAGGAACCACTGCAAGGCTAAGGGAGGAAAGAAAAGCGATGTCAGGGTCAGACTAGGAAGCACAGACTGAGGTCCAACGGGGGTTTCCAATCCCAGGAGGCTTAACTGGGCCATTTGGGCCTTCAGATGGAAACTGGCCAACACCAGTAAGCCTTTGTGGGAAAGACTCCCAACTAACTCCCTGACAACCACTCACCATTCTTAGGTGACATAATAACCGGAAACTGCTTATTGTTAAAGGGGAACACCCTCCCCAAATGGTTTCAGAAGCTACCACATCTTTTGCATACCCACAATGCCTCTTGCCTCTTAGTGATTTTACCTAGATGGAGACAGGGAGGGACATAGTTCTCCAGAGACCTAAAGTGAGTTTCAGAAAGTACTCACTAGGCAAACCAGTGAATGTTTGAGCCAATAACTTACTTAGGTGAAGGACTGATCAGCCTGCTAAGCATGGTATCTATTTTCAAACAATTGGCTTAGAAATATGTGCTTGGCAGTATGTCTTTTTTGTTGTTTGTGTCTTTTTCTGGTGCTGAGATCAGAACCAGGGCCTCACATACAATAGGAGCAAGGGCTCTACCACTGAGTGACAACACCAGCTTCTTGTATAGTCTAATTTGTACAGGCCCATGAAAAGATACAAGATAGAACTAATATCCTAGTAACTGTATCTAGATGCCAGGGTAAGACTGTATGTAGACCCTCACACATATTATTTCATTTAAATAGTACAAGCACCCACCCCATAAAGATAGTTTCATTCTCCATTCAGTCAGAATAAAATTGCAGAGGTGAAGATGGGAGGTAACTGGCTGAGGTCTCTCCCACAGCTAAGTGGTAGAGTAGCTATGGACATTGATTGGTCTGCTGCACAGACAATTCCTGCCGTGCCTCCAAATGAAATATGGGATATTGGTGCCTCGCTGAGTTTCCAAAGGATTTAATAAGATTACAGAATTACAAAAGGGTTGCAAAAATGCAGAAAGCACAGGGAAATGAATATCAGAAAATAAATAATACAAAGAAGGGGCAAGATGTATACCCAAAATGTCATGAGAGAAAGCCCCAAATCTGTGTTAACCACCATCTTGATAGGGCTCTCCAGCAGCCAACATATAGAAGAAAACCAACAGGCCAACATGAGAACATGTACCCCTAATTCAAGATGAAACCACTTGTTCAGGACAAGTGCTACTTCAGGTATTGACATCTAAGAGGAATGAAGAATAGACAAGGCCTTTGCTCTTCAATGTCTCATGTGCCCTTTAAGGGACAACATGCACACATGATTCACAACAGGGGAAAAATAGCAATGTTTGGGGGTTCGTGGGGCCACATGCAAAGGAAGAGGGGAAGAGACGTGCATTGTGGGGTATTGCTTCATGGAAAGAACAGGAATGGGCATCATTACGGTAGACAGGTGGAAAAGCAAGAGTCTCATACAGGAAGAGGAAGAGCAGGAAAGAGTCAAGAAGCAGCAATTTATATATTGCCAGTGGGGAGGACTGAGGAGGAGAGAAACACTGACACAGTGATGCTATAGCAACATTTAACATGGCCCTCCTGAGCACTGTGTATGCTCTAAGAGTTTTCACGGGCCTCATTCCATTTAACTCTCACACAAGACACCCCCCAGCATAGGTATTGGTACACTGTGTAGCCTGTGGAAAAGACAATTTAAAAGGAGGAGAGAATTGGGGCAATGCACTCATGGTCACCTGGGTAAGAACTGATGGAGCAAGAATCTGAACTCAGGTACGATACATGAGTCAACAATTCTAATGAGGGCAAAGTGTTGCCTTTAGTAGACTTTTTGTCAAGAACCACACAAGCAGCTCAATAGGAATTCAAGGGAAATTCACCAGGAAATTCTTGTGATTCAGAGAAGGATCATAGGCTTGTAGATGGAAGGAAGGGACTGGGAGAGAATGAGGGAACAGAAGACACTGTACCAACGGAAATGGACTCATTACCTGACTTATGTGATTGTAATCCCTCTGTATGTCACCTCTATAATAACAATGAAGTAATTTTTTAAAAAGGTCTGATAATTTTTAAGAGCATTATAGTTGCAAGGTGGTGAGGTCTCCTTGCCTCATGGCTGGAACACAGTTCCAGTGACATAAGCTTTTAGTGCCATGTTCTGACTTTCCTAGGATGCAAACCGAGTTTCTTAGCTTGAGCTATCTCCCCACTCCTCACCAATGTAAGTGGTAAAGTCAAGTATGGTTTACTCTAAAAGCTCAGGAGCTTAATGTGTAGCTCAATATACCACATGGCAAATGGCTTAGCCTACTCTTTTCCTAGGAACATTGTAACAGAGAAATGGCAAGACAAACAGGACAGCTAGATACTCTGGGTGACTACTGACAGTAGGTCCTATTTAATATTTTCTTAAACAAAATCACCATGGTGAATATAGCATTCTTTGAAATAGTTCTGAATAACTACTGCCCTAGACTCAAACATGTGGACTCAATATGCATCTGTCTGTGGCATGATTCTGTACATTCAATTTTAGCTTTCTTCATTGCTTTGATGTTGTTGCTTAAATTTTGGGCACAAAACTGAAACACTAAATTGGTGGTTAAAAAATTAAGATTTAGCTGGGTGCTGGTTGCTCATGCCTGTAATCTTAACTACTCAGGAGGCTGAGATCTGAGGATTGAGGTTCAAAGTCAGCCTGGGCAGGAAATGGTGCTGTAGCTCAAGTGGTAGGGTGCTAGCCTTGAGCTGAAGAGCTGAGGGACAGTGCCCAAGCCCAGAGTTCAAGCCCCACAACCGACCAAAAAATATTAAGATTTAGTATGATCTTTTTTGTTTTTCATAGGAAGACCTCTCATATTCATGGAGCTAATACTGTGAAAATGGTCATACTGCCATTTTCTGCAGGTTCTGTGATCTACAGGTTCAATACAATTCCTATCCATGTCCCAATGTCCTTCATCACAGAAATAGAACAATCAATCCAAAAGTTCATATGAAGTGTAAAAGACTCTACACAGCAAAAGAAATCCTGAGCAAATAGAACGGGTACTACAATACCAGACTTCAAATTATACCACAGAGCCGACACAAAAACAGACATGAGGTCTAGTTAAAATGATATTTGTCCAGTTATAAAACGGGTGAATCCTTTTTTAGAAAGTTACTTTGCCAATATTTATTTTTATCTTTTCAATTCCTGAGCTAGTCTTTGTAGTCATTGTAGAAAACTATGATGCATGCTAACTACTATTTCAGAGGGAAGAATTCAGTATGGTGTGTCATCTACCTCAAAATGCTACACAGTGCTGAGAAATGATTATTAGATGAATATAGGCCAAGGTATGGGTCCTAAAGAGCATATGTCAAATCTGAATCTCCTAATATACAAAAACCTTGTATGCAGATTTAAAATATGCATAGAGAAAACATATATCTTGAAAAGAAGTAGAAGGGGAAAAGGGAATAAGAGTGAGACTAGAAATAGATGTAAGCAACAAGAAATAAGGGATTACTTCTATTTACTCTGATTAAGAATTTTTCAGCCAGGTGTCAGCTACTTGGAGGATCTTGAATTATAGCTAGTCCTAGCTAAGACAGAGAGAGCTATTTGAAAAACAAATACAAGCTAAAGGCCAAATTGCATGGTTCAAGTGATAGAGCACTTGTGTAGCATGCATAAGGTCCTTGGTTCAGTTCCTAGTACACACACACACACACACACACACACACACACACACACGTAAATAAGTATACACACTACCTAGCTGGGATTCAACTAATAAGTTTCCTAAATAGGTAAATTAAGTATCTTAATAAAATACTAGATTCATATGCCTCCTAATGAGAGTCAAGTTCTAATCTCTTGAACACAGCATTTAGGTTGACATAGAATTTCCCAAGTCTGTTCAGGAGAATGTCAGACTAAGTATTAGCAACTTCACCTACTTGCCGCTTCAATGTGATTGCGACTTTGATACATCACCTGATTCATCATTGATTCATACTTGACTTTTCTTCAAGACCAGTTATTTATGACGCAGGGACCATATATTTTTCATTATTATGTTGGGAGAACTTTTCAGGCAATCCGCATCTTTTAAGACACAGGAAAATTTACAAAGCGATCACTCAAAATGACTTACATGTTCAAATGCCTCAGCATATAAACCTGGAATGTCAGTAGCTAGGGTTAGGCCAGGCAGGACAGCTTGAAACATCTAATTCTCCCAGGAATAACAAACGCTGGGATGAAGCAGCTAATGTGTGCCAGAATGAAAAGGCCAGACAGTGTGCTCCAAAGCTCTCCCTTTCAATGGGAGAGCAAAAGCCAGAACACTGTACAAACAATGTAACAAACATACCCATGGCCTGAACATAAACACAAAGCAGGATCAAATGCTCAGGTACTTGGGTCAAAAGAGAACTGTTTCCTTTTTTTCTCCTCTGTTCTTGGAACCAAGAGCCCTATGCCAACTTTTCAAACAGACAGAAGAGCTCTATTGAATGCCTTTGAATTAAAAACGACTGTCATCCAAATTTTGTATATCCTCCTTGGTCCCTCTCCTTAAATTTTAGTTTCATGTACACTGAGGAATTAATAAGCATTGTGGATTTCTGTGCATACATTCTTGTTAGATTACAATGCCTCGGTGCTGTCGCTGACATGTGATTCTGGCCTAATTCATGTCACTGCTGATAATTCTGTCCACACATCCTCCTGGTGCTATCCAGAGTCACTGCATTTATCCTATAATACACTTTTCATTGCTCCTGCGCACATGTGAAGTATAACTGTCAAAGTTTTAACTGAGATATCTGGTTAAAACCTTCTGAATAAATACTCAGATTCTTTTGTAGAAAATAGAAGAAATGAGACAAGTCTATGTATTCAGGTAGTTTTCTGTCAGTATCAGACTATCCTCACATTTTCATTTTGAATCTAAATAGATATTGGTTTTTTTAAATCATACTGAACAACAAGTGCTTTTATTAAATTCAAATAGCAACTTGCATAGTATCTGCGGAG